ATACATATATATATATATATATATATATATATATATATATAAAGAGAGAGATGAGTATAGTATGCAGGTCTTTATTAAACTGTGTTATTGCCAATAAAAGAAACGTGTTGCTCTAAAGAAACGTGTCGCTCTACTGCCACTTTATCCCAACAGTCTGGCCAGCCCCTCTTGGAATAAAATCAGCAGATGAGCTGTAGTGGAGATAATTTTCTTTTAGTTTTGTAAACATTTACCACATCTATTCTAAATCACCATGAGAATCTTTATCTTCCCCTTTCCAATAAATTATCAGCAAAACATATTCTAATCTGTGTCTGCTTCCCATTTCTCGAAAAAAACTACCAGGACTGGTTTTCATTCCACTCTGCATGTAATATACAAGAAGCATGTTATGTAATGAAATTTTAATATTTCTTCCTATAATAACACTACCCTGATGCAGCATTTTCAATATGTATAACTTTAATTTCTACCTCTATTACACGGATTAATAATATAACCTAAGGAGTTCTAAAACCTTAGAAAGATCCTACTATATGGATGTTTCCACAAGAATTACTAAATCATTATAATCAAGAAGTATTGTATTTAACAGTGAGAATAGGCATCATATGCAATATTCATATTTAATGACATGGTGATAAAAAAAAATGTCTTACCCTTGGGAATTTTGTCACTCTTCTCAGGAACTTTTAGTGTTGTGAATGAACTTTCAGGTTTGGATTCTTTGCCTTCTTTTCCATCTTTAAGTTCTTTGCCATTTTTCACTTCTTTTCCTTCTTTAACTTCTTTTCCATCCTTCACATCTTTGCTATCCTTCACTTCCTTCCCTGGTTCCTTTACTTTGGTTTCCATCACTGTAATTTTGCTTTCAGAACTGTATTCTTCTGCCAGCTTAAACTCAGGTAATATCTCTTTTAAGAGCTCCCAAACTCTGTCTGTGTATGTTGGGCTTAGATGAAAGACATTGATATTAATTTCAACTATTAGGCTTTTTCATTTCACACCAAGAAATTAATACAATAAAAAAAATCAATGTACTATTCTGTATACAAGACTAATTTACTAATTTCAATAGTAACTTCAAATTGTTGTTAAAAACGCCATTGTGGGCAACTCTCTGGTGGTGCAATGGGTTAAAGCCACCAGAGGCTGGCTGCAGCCACTGCAGCATGAGTCTGATACCTGGCCAGGGAGTTGACCCACATGGTGCAGCAGACCTCTCCTGTCCTGCCTGCTGCTCCCCTCAACAGCGTACTTTGTCAGTCTGCATGTTCTGCTCCCCACTCTGTCTCTGATGAATCCTCTCGCTGCCCCTTCACCTCTGGCCCGTCCCTCAGTTCTGTATGCATAAATAAATCTTTTTAAAAATGTGCATTCATTGGCCCTCCCTGGTGGCGCAGCGGGTTAAAGCACAGCACTGAGAATCTAAAGCCGCTTCCGCATGAGTTCGATTCCCGCCTGCCCCGGAGGTG